TGATTAATCATTAATTACATAAATCTAATCGTTATTACCGACACTGATATTTTTACACAGAAGAGTACCGGATTTCAAAAGCTACCTGTTTTTCTTCCTTTTGTCTCCATTTTTGTCAAAACGAAGACAAGAGCCACTGGATCTCTAAATCTTTGTCGTCAAATTTGAAATATTCTTCTGTTTAATTCTTCTCCTGGTATGCTCTAACAACTCTTTCTCTTACATTTTGTTAATTCTGTTTTCTCGATCCGATCGATTTCGTGTGGACATGTCATTTGTCTGATCATTTTAGTTAAGCAAGCACTTCTCATTCTCTATCATTGGTTATCATTATTTTTCAAACTGGTGAGCATTTGGTGATGGTTCATGATTTGACATGTTTTCCGACGTCGTTTTATGGTTTGATTGACAGACAAAAAGGAGCTGAATCAAAGTATTTAAGAACAAGAGTCTTTTTTTGGTGTTTGGTAACTTTTTTTTCTGCGGAGGGAGGCATTATGGGATATCTGAATTCTGTATTGTCATCTTCGAGCCAATATCATGCCGGCGATGGACCTGTCAGCGGCGGCGGCCTCAGGTTTCCTAGCTTTTATCATGTCTTTGCTTTTCTAAGATTACTAAAGCGAGAAGATATTACAGATTACTTCGAATTTTAGATGCGTTGATATATGTTTAGGCAATTAGTATCGTTCCTAGATTTAAGCTCTTATGTGTTCTTTAAGCATCACATGTAAAGAGTTTTTTTATATACTCCTTTGGTTTTATATTGAAGAGCTATGAGTCTATTAAGGCTTTGACTGTACATGCTCTTGCTGCTGTTACTTTAGATAAACATTGTAATTGTTTTTTTTTGTATACTTTCTTTGTTCAGTCAGAATGGGAAGTTCAGCTATGGATATGCAAGCTCTCCTGGTAAAAGATCTTCAATGGAGGACTTTTATGAGACTAGAATCGATGGCGTTGATGGGGAGATTGTTGGTCTTTTTGGAGTCTTTGATGGTACTACTTTGTCTCTCCACTACTACTTTTAAGTTCTATAGCATGTGCAGACTTGTAGATCACTTATATCATTATGTAGGAACTGATATGGTGGGGAATCGGAGATTTAGTAAGATTTGGTTTCTCATGAGATACATGAGAACCATAACTCGTTGGTGATGTATAGTAATAGTGTTACGTGTTTATGACATGTAAACCATCCAAATTACTGTCTAGTTATTAGCATGTATCTATGTTTTACTTACATTTTTGACATGGTACGGTGCTCTGAAGAGGCCAATGTAGTGATGTAGCTCATATTTATGTTCCAGGGCACGGAGGTGCACGTGCAGCTGAATATGTGAAGCAAAATCTATTCAGTAACCTCATCAGGCATCCCAAGTTCATCTCTGACACTACGACAGCAATAGGTTATTTTGCACTTTTAATCATGTTAGCCAGATGATTCATTAAATAGATCATCCAGCTAGGTGTCTGATTTTCTTACTTTCAATTGCTTCTCATGTCAGCTGATGCGTATAAACAAACAGATTCTGAGTTTCTTAACTCAGAAAATACTCAGAACAGAGATGCTGGTTCAACGGCGTCAACAGCCATATTAGTTGGTGATCGTTTACTTGTTGCAAATGTAGGGGACTCTAGAGCTGTTATATGCAGAGGTGGAAGTGGTAATGCTTGTGCACTTTTATTTATGTATACCGTTTCTAGGTGATGGCATCGTTTGTCAATGTTAGTGGTGTTGTCTGGACTGGTACTAATATAATTCTTTTTGTCAAAGCTATTGCTGTATCCCGAGACCACAAGCCTGATCAAAGTGATGAGCGCCAAAGAATTGAGGATGCGGGAGGATTTGTCATGTGGGCTGGTAAGTATAAAATCGTTTTGATGAGAAAACTTTCTTCTTATATGCGTTTATATCGTTTACTTAATTGGTATTATACTAAAAGGAACATGGAGAGTTGGAGGAGTTCTTGCTGTTTCTCGTGCATTTGGAGATAGGTTATTGAAACAGTACGTTGTTGCTGATCCGGAGATACAGGTATTGGTTTTGCATCATAATCTCCTTCCATATATAAGAAAGTTAATCATTTTTCTTGTGTGAATAAACTCAAAAGGGAGTGACTATTTGTGCTACATCATAGTATGGCTACACCGATCAATTGCCTTGGTTCAAATATACTCATGAACATATATGAAAATTTCAGGAGGAAAAAGTTGATAGCTCTCTGGAGTTTCTCATTCTTGCAAGTGATGGTCTCTGGGACGTCGTATCTAACGAGGTAAGAATTGTCGTTTGATTTTCTAAACTCTCTACCATTCTCAGTCCTCTGGGCATGACAACACATATCTGTTTTTTTTATCCTCAGGAAGCCGTAGGAATGATTAAGGTGATTGAAGATCCCGAGGAAGGTGCAAGAAGACTGATGACGGAAGCTTACCAAAGAGGTAGTGCAGATAACATAACTTGTGTCGTTGTACGTTTCTTTTCAGACCAAACAGGAGTAGGTTCCAGCAGCAACGGTATTATACCAGACAAAAACTCCGGTGACTAATCAACCTAGTTTTAACATTGGTGACGTCCTTTGGGTTTCGTTATTTCATATTCCACCCAAAATGACAAATGAATCTGGGAGACTATATATTGTTTTAAAAAATGTCCAATGGTTTTTAAAGAAACTCAAGAAAATGTTTTTTTTATCTCCTGTCATTTTGTTGTTATACATTTTGGTTACTTGGGCATGTAAAGAAACATAAAACACGACACGATCAAAAGTTCTTTAAATTTGGAATACACGAGAGTGAAGCAAACGTTATTGGTAATCTTAATATGTTAAAAATGCCGTCTTAAATATCACAACAACAACTCCACAAGTAATATCTTCTTCTGACGTAAACATAAGAGGTAAATAACTGATACGCTACCAACTCTTTTGTCGAAGAATGCAAACCTAACAGTAGAAAAAATGATACACACACGCTGCTGCTTTGTGGTGAGTGATGAAGTTAGCCAGTCCCTGATTTGAGAGTATTACTCAACCTGAAGGAGAAGAAAAGAATATAATATGAGTTTTGCTGAACGAAAAACACACATGAAATGAAATAATACTTCATGTGATTACCAGTCTAGGCCTTCGAAAAGTCCTTCGCCTTTCACAGCACAAGTTTTGAATATAGCCCACTGACGGCTTTTTATCTTGTGCAACTCCAAGGCCTCTGTCACAGCTGCATCGTCAAGGGCGCCTGGTAGATCCTGTTTCATTTCATTACAGAATCGTCAGATATATACGCAAAACCTATCCAATAATGGTACAGATTCTTCTCAACTAGCTTCCCGGTGAATTTATCAGAACATGGAGGCGGCAAGGTAAAGAACATGACATAAATGACACGAACCTGCTTGTTTGCAAATATAAGAACCATTGCACCTTTCAGTTCCTCTTCCTGTAAGAAGATTCAGATCAACCAAGGACGTTAGCTGCTTAGTAATAGGTGAACTGTTTTAGAGGAAAGAAAATCATAATTTCCAGGAGCTGTCAAATGATGTACAAAAATCTATATTGCAAGTCAAGATCAATAGCAGTTCCTCTCCGAGAATGTCTCAGTTTAATTACACCGGCTTTTACTCTCAGGTACAAATCAAAGAAACTTTAAAGATTAATGTCATATATTACAAGGCTGTTGACATTCTACAAACATTGAGTAGCAACATATATAAGTTTCTTAAAATCAAGCAGCTGAGCCGTTATTGTATTATCTCACTAGAGAAGAAACCATCAAGAAAGAATTCCACTCGTTGGATACAAGGGGCGGAACCCTTTATCAAGAAAGCAATAAACCAATTACATTGGAAAGATGAAAGTAGTTTACCTCCAAAATTGCATGGAACTCTTCTTTGGCCACTCCAATTCTATCAGTATCACTCGAATCAACAACATAAATCACTGCTTGTGTATTTGGGAAATAGCATCTCCAATACGGCCTGAAACAGTTACGCAAAAAAAAAAAACCAGTCCACATTGTCTCTACAAAGAATAACAGAGAAATTAGGAAAAAAGTTTCACCAAGCTACCTGATACTCGTTTGTCCACCTGCCCAATGAAACAAAAAAATCAATTGAAAATATTAAAACTACAGTTCCATAATTGCAAAGTTAAGTACAAACAATTCATCACCAAAAATCCACTAAAACCATAGCTAGAAATACGCAAAGCATACAGCCTTATATGTATGTCACAACTACTCATCACTCTCAAAGATACAATATTCAAGTTTCACTGCAGTTTACATGTGCTATCATGAGCCTAATATCACTTGCACTTGAAATCTACTAGTCAGGACTAACTGGATCCATAAGATCAAACAATGTAACTGTTCAAGCAATTCAAAATTCGAAGTTTAATACATATAATTATATATATAACCATACCTAAATCCCAGACCTGAAACTTGATATTGTTGTACTGCACAGTCTCCACGTTAAATCCAATAGCTACAGACAGATCGTAACAAACCAAATCGATTTTCAGTAGAATTTAGCGATAATTAAATGGTGAGATCAAGAGGAATACATACTCGGGATCGTGGAGACAACTTCTCCCATCTGAAGGCGATCTGGAGAATCACAAAATCAAAAATGTAAGTCAAGCTCAACATAAGAACCCTAGCCACTACATTTATCTAATAAATCAGAAAACGGAGGCGATTGTTTTACAGAGGATGGTGGTTTTTCCAGCATTGTCGAGACCTAGGACGAGGATGCGAGCTTCTTTGTTTCCAAACACGGAGGAAAAGAGCTTCGTGAAGACGATTCCCATCTTCTTCCTTAGCTTCTCTTCGGATCAGATCATACGATCTGAGAAAGAGAGATTCGTCTTTTGGATCATCGAGAAGGAGAAGCTTTAGCGAGTTGGTAAACCTTCTGAATCCGTTAGCGGGATGCATATGGGCCACTAATTTATCACTTCGGCCCAGTAAGAGGATGGGTTTTACTGATTTATTTAGTAGAGATTTTGAGACTGATGTCTTCTGCTAATTTGACTAATCAGCTCTCATCTTGGCGTCAGCATCCATCTCACGCTTTCGTTAGTTGTTTTTGTTTGCTTTTTGAAAGTAGCTAAACACAAAGATGTATTTTCAATATATTAAACCAAAAACATAATATATATATTTTAATATGCACATACGTCATATCTGATATCTGCTAAGTTGACGGTAACTCCTTCCCTTAAGTCTACTTTTGATTTTGATTTACCACCTTCTAAGTAGTAAAACTTTTTTTTCGAATGGCAGCATTCAAAAGTGTAAACTATCAAAGAGTTGATATAGAAACTAGAATTACGTAGGGGAATATATACAGTAAATATTTATTTTTGGGGACAAAAATACAATCAAAAAATAAAAATTAAAGAAAAAAAAAAGAAAGAAAAGAATGTCCAAATGGAAGAGAATTGATTGGAAGTTTCTCAAGTACAAGGACGCGGCTACTCGGCGCCTCGAAGGACAGCTCAGTGGTGTCAAAAATGTCAAAGCAGAATCTATTCCTTTTGCTATACTTAACTCAACACGATACATAATGTGACACGTCTTCACATTTGTGCTTAGTGCTTGACCCACAGGATAGCTAAACTAGATACGCAACACAAATCATTTGCTAACCAATTGTTTTGTTAATTAGCTAGTTCACTTAGTTAATACTAGATGGGAAATATTCTTAATTTTTCTGGGAAAACGGAGAATATCATATTTTAAAATATTCATTATTAATTAGCCGGCATTTTCACTTTAAAATACTTTTAAAATATAAATAAATAATTACATATTAGGTTTTGATGAAATGAAAAAAAAACTACAACATACTAGAATGTCATTTGCCAATACAAGCAAAGAAAGAAACGTGTAAAAAGACATGACCCTAACCTAGTGACCTAGATCAACCAGATAAATAATTAAAAAAACACTTTTCTGAAAACTTCGAGGGATTGGATTATTTATTTGTGTCTCTGTTTGTTTTTACGAAAAATCACTATACGAAAATTAGAATCTAACTTTTCTTCTATAAATAAATTAGCCCAAATGAGATTAAAGAAATTTTTTGAAACGATCGAGTCCTGAATACATGGATGTATTGTACACGTATGAAACCACATTTACAATCGTTTGGTGGGTAAAGTAATCAAATATTTCCTCTAAAAATTACAAAACCTGAAATAAAGTATTTAGTATAGCAAAAGATAAAACATTACAAACCAAGTAAAATCAAAATTTTGCTCTCTAGCAAAGTTTACATTCCTAGTAAACATATGAGGGAAAATTTCCCAGAGAACTCTCAAAAAGAACAAAAAACCATTAATAAAAGAAAAAAAGGAAAGTTAGAAGAAGAAAAAGCTTTTAGTGACTTGTTGTTGGTTCTCCAGTATCTTTCAGACCATGTGCAATGGGGAATCCTTAGGGGAAGTCCTTAGAAAAATATTAATTTTATAATCACTGGGTCCCATGAATAGTTAAGGATTTTATCCTAAAAATCCTTATATAAGGATTGATCCTTACACTATTCATGGGCTCCACTGCACACGTGGCGGTACGTGAGTGGTCAGTTTATTTTTTTTTAAAAAAAAAATCTGAAATATCCTTATATAATCTGAAATACCCCTTTTTATTTTTTTCCTAAATACTCCCCTAAGGATTCCCCATTGCACATGCTCTCACTTTCTCTTCATTTCCCCCGAACTTCTTCTCCTCTCCAACAACAACACTATCTTCCAGAGAAACTACCATTTTACCCTCATTAGCCCCACACGTACACTTCTTCATCGCCGGCGTCGCAATAAACCTCGGCATGTTTTCTCCCGCCATTATAACCAAAAACTTCTCCTCGTACGCTCCGTTCGCCGCCTTATCCCCAGACCGGATCTCTTTCTCTTCGTCCACTTCTTCACCGTTCCGACCACTATCTTGTTCGCTGGAGGAAGATAGACGCCAGTAAGAACAGGCGAGGATGAGGAGAGCAAAGGCGATGAGTCCAAGCATCGCAGCTAAACCACCGAAGAGGTAAGGAACCGGTGAGTGCCACGGAGATTGCGGCGCTACCCCGTGATTCACTGAAGATGACGGTGACGTGGCGTGCATCGCCACATCTTGCAACATCGATCGAACGCTCAACGGTCTCATTTTTTTGGTTAATGTTTTATTTTGCTTCTCCTTTGGTTTGTTGTTTGGAGATAGTTTTCTCTCAACTTTCTTTTTTCTTTTTAGTTTTCTCACTTAATGGTATAAAGGAAAGCTGAATATGAAACAATGGGGAAGGTAATGCGACGTATTTATATTATAGGTGTAAGCAACTTGGGGACAAAGGTAGTGAGTAGTGACGATTAGATTTAATTAATAAAATTTTGAGAATTCATAACCATTCTCTCTTTTTTTTTTAATCATAGTGCTACATTTATTTCATAAAGCCCCAAAATATCTAACAAAAAATATCCCAAAAATATTTGTATTTCAATTTTTGTTTACCTTACTGGTAACACTACGAAGGGTGGCGACAATCATGACATTCACGATCCTTCTATACATCATAACCATTTAATGTCTTGATGGTTTATGTTGCTGTTAATATTATATGTTATGATCTTATTTAAATCATGCAAAACATCTGTCCATAAATCATTACATTACAAAATTTTGATGTCATCAGGATTTTATATATGTTTTAATTGTTTTCATGAGATTTAGACAGGGTGAGTTGTGATAATGTCGCAACCTAATTCAGTAAAAAGATTAGTGAACGGCTGAATATGATTTTGATTTAGTAACAAGATGTTTACATAATAGACTAATTAAGATGTAATAAAACTTAGAGAAATATTCTATGATAAAAAGTTTTTATTACATATATATATATATAACTTTACAACGCTGGCAATGTGCGTATAAGCCCTCTAAAACTCTAGTTACAAATAAAAATGGAGACAGTGTCACGATTCATCGTTTCAATTTATATCAATATATTTGTATACCTTGCCCGTACAAATATAGCTAGACATATATCTGAAATCGATGTATTATCCATCTGCTAACATTGACATTTTCTATATCTCTATATACTATAAGGAAATAGTGAAAGCGCATATTAGAATTGGGGTATAGTGGAACATGACGATGCTTGCACAAGAATAAGAGCGAACAAAGATGATTTGAGAGAAAGAGAGATAGATTGTGGGTTAAAGTGACAACATATCATTTTATTTTTCTTACTCATTCTCAAAATTTCAATTGGCTTTGGTGCTTTTGATTTGACAAGTATATTAAGTCTCTTTAGCCAGGCTAAGTGATGATTCGTAGTGTTTTTTTTTTTTGCATTATGAGATATGGATAAGATCAGAAGATCATTTAAGATATCGTGTTGTTTATGTGGTGAATCACCGTTCACTTATGATATTTGTAAAGAATGTTATGTCTAATCTGATGTCCGATTCACTATTATTATAGTTATAGTTAAATTAGTACAGTAAATTCTATAGAATTGATGTGTTAGTTCAAGTGACTATATGAAGTTTAATATATTCTCTTCTAGTCTATCCAATATCCACGGTAAAAATGAAAACCATGGGCTTCTTTCTTTCTTAGTTTTCTTTAACTATTTGTTTGCCTCTTTGATTAGTTATTTCTGATATATATAAAGCCTAAATGAAAATATTAACATAGAAATTTACCCACATGTGTTTTGAGAGGAATATTATAAGAAAGTTGATGTATATATCTGATTTCAAGTTCACCATAATTTTAGTTTGACCTCTTTTCTGAAAAAAATCAAAGGCTTCTTACTGATTTTATTTTTAAAATTTAATACCAACAGATTAAACAATAGAAAGCACCAAGTGAGAAGAGGGCCATATTGTTAACTGGCATTCCATTAAATCACCACCACAAGGGTATGGAGTGACAGATGGCTGGAGGACCCTGTTGAAGGATTGAGAGCTCCTTGGGTAAAGAACATATCTTTTGATGTGAACCTCTTGGTCCATGCTCTTATTGATAGGACATCCCGCTGTTGGAATATGGCTGTTCTTAATGAACTTTTTGTTCCTGGGGATGTTGGTATCATCATGGCTAAACCTCCTGCGGTTGATCGTGATGACTTTTGGGTCTGGAGATTCAACCAAAGTGGAAACTTTACGGTAAAATCTGCTTACTGGCTGGCAACGTCGACAAAAAGTTCAGATTGCAAAAGGGAGGCTGAGTCCCTTCCATCGCTTTGCCCGTTAAAAGAAAAAGTGTGGAAGGTCCAAACTACGCCTAAAATCAAAGTTTTCCTTTGGAAGTGTATGAGTTGTGCTCTCCCAGTGGCCGATTTAATCAATGAAAGAGGCATGAAGATTGATGGGAGATGTCAGCTGTGTGGGCTTGATGGGGAGTCCATTAATCATATACTCTTTAAATGCTGTGTAGCGAGACAGGTGTGGGCATCTTCTGGAACACCTCACCCGATTAATGGTTTCGATGAGCTCTCAATCTTTGCAAACATAGATAGCTTGCTCAAGTTATCTAGGTTTCGTGATCTTCATGAGGAGATAATGAGAGCTTGGCCCTGGATTTTATGGAATCTCTGGAAAAATCGTAACCATTTAATTTTCAAAGGAGATTCCTTTTCTTGTGCAGAGATAGTGAGTAAAGCTTTTGCTGATGCTAATGAATGGTTTTTAGCTCAGACCATTGATGAGGAATGGGACCAGATGGAAGAAACTAATGTGAGAAGTGTAGAGAAGTGGAAACCTCCTCGTCACAATTGGGTGATGTGTAATGTTGCTGTAGATTGGACCAAGGACTCCATGTTAACGGGTGGTGCTTGGGTTTTGCGAGATGATAGGGGAGTTGTTATTTATCACAGTAGACGCTCCTTTGGCCACTTCCAATCTAAACAACAGGCTAAGATGGCCGTTGTTTTATGGGCAGCTGAGAGTATGAAAAGCCATAAGATTGAGAGACTGATTTTTGCTGGAGAGTTTAAAGAACTCTTTGGAGCTGTTTTAAGACCGTCAGCCTGGCCTTCCTTCTGCCAGGATGCTGACAACTTTAACAGAGCCGTGGTTGGTATTAGAGAGTGGGAAGTTGCAGCAGTACAACAAAGTATGAATAGAGGTGCTTCGATCATTGCTCAAAGTGTTAGAAAATGTGGTTTCTCTCAATCGTATGTGTCTGTTGGGAGTCCGAGATGGTTACTTGAGCTCTTTGATGGTGAAAGGAGGGCCCTCTAAATCCCGGTATTTTGGCCATTATGATTGGTGCTGTATTTTAGCGTTACTATGCTTAGTAGATGTTCCTTGTGCATTTTGGAAACTAGTTTCAGAGCTCTCTCTCTTGCTCTGTTTTTGTATGAACTTTTTATGGATTAATCGACAACTTTCAGTGAAAAAAAAAAAAAAAAAATCAGAGAATAATATTGTATAATTTCTTGGTGCCCTACATCTCGTCAGCTTCCACTTGGGTAGTTGTACCTTTTAGCAGCTGAGTGTAGTACATTTTCTTCTGCACGGACAACCACCTCTCATCGTTTAGTACATATCTTCACTAACCCTAACTCTAATCTAATGAAATGAACGTCTAAAAATCCAAATGATATGAACAAAGTTTAAATAAATTTTAGACACTAAATACATTAGGTATCTCTACGCCATGTTCAAAAGAAGAGTTTGAAATTAAATTACTTAAACTACTGATTAGTCATAATAAAAGTTTGAAATTAAATTACTTAAACTTCATTTTTGGGTGTGAATGTTAAATTTCATATCAAATTTTCAAGTTTACAAAGTTGCTCCAAACAGTTTATCACAAGGGAAAAAGAGTTAGGGGGAAGAGTCAGTAAGAATATATTTGCAGTTATTATTTAGCTCTTACAAACAATGAATTAAATCCAAACAAAGATTTGTTAAGAACCAACATAAATTAAATTTATAATTATAGGAAACTTTTTTGTTGCTATATCAATCAAATCTCTTTTTTGACAAAGAGATTCAATCAAATCTCGTGGTATTTCTGACAATATAACAAAATCACTGACAAGCTTTGTAACTATTCATGATTATCATATAAGTAAATCATTATATCAAAAATTAAGACATTAAAGTCTGAAACCTGTAACTCGGTTATTATTTAAGCAATATCCATTTCGTATGTTTTTTTTTTGCTTTACTAAAGTCAAGTTTCGTATGAGGCAAGGCCACTTGGATTCAAAATACTCCACATCTTTTTATTTACATAGAATATAGCATTCCAACCTTTTTTCTAGTATTTAGTTGTAATTTCGCTCGATAATCAGATTCCACATTTGTACTTGAACGGCCATTTTTTTCTTGTTAGTAACTTTCATTAGTTTTAAAATGATTTAAGTATATTTCAACTATAATATAAATTGCTGGCGAAAGTCGGCCAATCACTAAAGGAAGCTCGTGTCAGATAGCATCCACACATAAATATACGATTACTAGCAATGCTGTTAGTATTCCAACTTTATAATTAGTTAGTTAATTGAGGATTAGGGACAAAGATAAAGTATTGAAATGGAAGGGAAAACATAAATTATTTGAATAAGCCGATGAAATTATTCCCAATTGAGTGTTAGTGGTGTTTGGTGACGTACAAACTTCTCTTCATCCAGATAAGGAGCTATGCACTATAATTTTCAAAATTATGCACTATAAATTTTATAAAGACAGATTTTTTTAAGATGGATTTCTTTTTCTAAAGACGGGAGGAAGTATAAAGTAGTAACCCTACAACAACACATGAGCCACAGCTTCACTAAAATAAAAATTTAAAATTAACTAATTACAAAATAGAAATCAAAAGATTGTTGGCTGCACAATTTTTATTAAAGTTAAAAGCTACCTAAAAAATAAAAACATCTTACATATTGAAACATAAAAATTTCCTAAAACATCATAAATTATACAAAGATTACTTGGTTTGATCTTAGTGTAATGTTTGCTTTTTTTTTAAAAAACCATTTAAAAACCACGCGAGCAACTTCCAAATTTCAATTCGATCTATTTAATTCATTAAGAAGTACTACAAATTACATTTACAAAAAAGTACTACAAATTCATAATATATCATATTCATATTTTATCTTGCAACAGTTTAAAATATAAAAAAAACTCCCATGTTAATTTGCTAAATCCGCTATTGGAACATTATATATAGCTTTTCTAAACTGTAGGTTTTCATGGCTGGTTTGTCAGTACCAAAATATTACTGTATAAAATATTAAAATGGATTATATAGGAAAATTAACCCGATTTGACACATCTCTATTTTGTAATGCGTTGCAAAAAAAAAAAGAGAGTATAAATTACGTACAAAATTTATCTTCTACCTTTTTGATTTTAAGTACTAGTTTTTTCTGTCTGATAAGTCTCTTTATTTTTCACTTACTGGCGACAAGTGTAACTAAATAAATTTACTGATTAAAACTGAAGTTGGGAATACAGTGACGATCTTTAAATTCGGATCACATTATTGGATATTCCATTTAGATCATATGAACACTATTTCGTTTGCAGTGCTCATTCGCCTCGTCTTAAAAATCAGATTTGATAGCCCACCATGTTTTGCCTCTTCCTGATTTGATTTGATTTTTAATTATTTTTAAAAAATCTTTTTAGATTCCAAAGTAATACTAGTATATCTATAGTTGGTAGGCCACGAGATTATAGTTGCTTTAGTGGCAGTTATTATTACAAATTAACTAGAAGACAACAAATACTAAGTCTTCTGTTGTTAAAGAAACTAAAGTATTGTTTGTTAAAGTATTAGAAATTTGAAAATATTGCCAAACTACATAAACATAAATGATTTTGTTATTAAAAACTTTCATGGACACAATAAGTTATGAAGTATTTCTGAAAAACATGTAACTATATATATGTTGTTTGTTAACAAACAATGTAATTGCTAATCACGTGAAGAAATTGATGTCGTAAAACGGTTAGTCAATCAATTTTTTATTGATCATCTATCTAATAAAAGTTAAAAATGGTTAAGGGACGTTCGTGTACCTTTATTGGTTTCAGACATACTGCAAAGCAGCTCAGTTAGACCAACTGTCCTGTAATGTAAATGCGATTTGATCTGCGCATGCTATCATTTTTTTTTTATATTGTTTAGACAAAGCAAAAATATTGTATTTCCAACAGTTATTGTGTAGTTACAGTAAATTTAAATATCAAGCTTATAGTAATTATGAAAAGAAAATTGACTACTTGCCCTCACGTCTTTTTAATGAAATAAAGTATACGCATATCAGTTTTTTTTTTGTTTGTTGAGCGAAATAGTTTATACGCTCTGTTAATTTACCACCTGCCTTTCGTAGGATAAAACCACCATTAATAAGTCTTAATAGGTAATATATAATTTCTCAGTTTTTTATGTGGAACAAGACTCACGAGTTGACAAAAGAGACAACAAAAAGTGCTTTTGTTGGACTATAGTCATTATATATTCGGTGTAGATGGTGGCTTTTGAGTGCTTTCATTGTCATATTCTCTGTCTCCGAACCCAACAAGAAAAATCATTTCGCAGATTGAAGAACACTAACCTGAGATAATATTGATTAAAAATATATATATATTTGGATATTGTTTTATATACTATGTGGGAATTTATCTGATGGAAGAAGAAAAAATGGATAATTATCCTCCGGACACTATAATCATCCAAATGAGATATTAAATGGGCCTAGTTGTATTACTGAGGCCCATTAACCCAAATAAAGAATCTTCTCGCGCGGTTAAAACAACCCATCAGGTGGAGATGGCTTGAAGCTGGAACAGTCGGGGATTTAGGGTTTCAACTCGACTCTCCGATCCCTTCTTCTCCGTCGAAAAATTGCTCCTCATTTGCACTTGATTGCCTCAATTCTCTGCCTTTTTCAGGTTGTTTAGGTTCGCATTCCTGTATTATCGGTTGGGTAGTATCGAATTTCAATCACACGAATCGTTCCAGCTGATCAGGATTAGTTAGTCTCTTACCAACTATAGCTTTTTAAGAGAAGAAGAATCTGTGATAGAGAGTTAGTAGATCACAAATTTTGAACTGGAGTAGTTATCATTCTTCCAATATTGAAATTCAAGTTCTTTTTTTATTTTATTTTTTTATTGTGTTATGACAATATTTTTAAGGTTTATGTTTATAAGTTCGGGTAGCAGCTAGTTCTAGACTACTAATGTTGGTTTTCCATTGTCTTAAATCCGATCTTTAACCAAGTTCAGAGGTTTTGTATTAAAAAAAAAAAACTTATTATTTCAAGGTGTTGAGCAAGAACGTGGGAAGAGATGAATCAAGGACAACAATCTGGTGAGGCGAAGCATGAAGATGATGCTGCTCTTACTGAGTTTCTCGCGTCTCTCATGGATTATACTCCCACTGTAAATTTCCATTTTTTACTATTTTGAACTTTTTTAGGTTCTCCAATGTTTGGATTGGTTAAGCTCTGCATTTGATTACTCTTTCAGATTCCGGATGATTTAGTGGAGCACTATTTGGCTAAGAGTGGGTTTCAGTGCCCCGACGTACGATTGTAGGTATTTCCGTACAGTTTTCTGTGATACTTACTTGTATATAAAATAGCAGCTTAGTTGCTATTATCTTCATGTTTGGAGTTTTGAATGGTTTACAAGCACTTTAATCAGATGTATTGGTTAGAATAATCTCAGATGTTCTAGGTTTTTCATTTGTGGTTGAGGTTTACTTGGGGACTGGGAATGCCTATCCATGTTGCATTTAGTTGTTCCTTATCTACTCTCCATGTGGAAATGGTATGATTTAGATTTCCATGCTTGTCTACGAGTAGAAAAGATTGGCACATTGATTATATTTGAACATCGGATGGAGTTCATTTTTTCTCTGTCGACTTAAGTGCTTAGCATTGGCCATTGGGATTATGATTTGTCGGGTTTTTATCCTCGTTCATAATTTTTTTCTTATATATTCTTACCAGTTTGTGCTTATATTTTTGTTTACTGGTTTGACAGAATAAGGCTAGTTGCTGTGGCTACACAAAAGTTTGTTGCAGATGTTGCCAGCGATGCTCTTCAGTATGTTTCATTCCATTCTCTATCAACTTTATTACCCTTTTCAGAGTTAACTTGGACCAATAGAAGCGGGACCTTGTATAAGCTAGATTTTCCCATGAACGTATTGACATGAGCTCCTCAGTAATTCAAATTTAATAATGTTATAAACAGGCACTGCAAGGCTAGACCAGCACCAGTTGTGAAAGACAAAAAACAGCAAAAGGTAACTTCTGACTCATTTTCGTTTTTGTTCTTTTCTCTGTTATTTCGTTCATGTCATGAATATTAATTTCTTGTTTTTTAAACAGGATAAGCGTTTAGTATTGACAATGGAAGACCTTTCAAAAGCTCTGCGTGAGGTAAATGATTCTTCTTCTCTAAGTTCATGCTTCTAGTGGTGACGTTGACCCATAAAAAAATAGAAACAAAATGTAGATGCTTGTTTATAGTCAAGCTGTAAATGGTAGAAATGGCATAGAAGTAAGTCACTAGCATCGAATCAACATAGAAAAGGTTTTAGAAGCATGCCCAAGTAGTTAGTTCCGATATTGTGGATTGCAGTAGCTTATATATGCAAGGTTACTCCATCTAATCTTAACTAGAAATGGATAGCTAACCAATGATTAAACTCGGTTTGGCAGTATGGTGTGAATGTGAAGCATCCAGAGTATTTTGCTGATAGCCCGTCCACCGGAATGGATCCTGCGACAAGAGATGAATAGCAACCAGGAAGTCTTGATTGTCTTTCTTATGGATAATCCGTCTGTGAGTTACTTGATTTTCTATTGTGTTTTAGTTGAAACAAAACTCTCGTCTCCTCTTTCTAGTCATCGATTACATGTATATTATTCCTCATGTTGTTTGTTTCTTGACGTGCGTCTCTCGTGTTTATTGAGTTTCATACCATACTTTTATCAACACATTTTCTTAGATTGAGCAGAACATTAAACAATAAACAAGATACACAACCTCGAATGAAAAACAAGCAATCAATACAGCAAATCTTTATTACAAACGATAAAAACCCATTATGGGTTAAAAAAACCCCCAATATGGTATTTCTAATCCTGAAGAAGCAAACAATGGCAGTCAAAATTTAGCACATTTTTCATTTTCCCTGAGATACTCATTTCATGCTTAAACTCCAAAATAATACCTGACATTTTCTAGGATTTTGATGATCATTGTCAGTTATGATGAATGTATAAATTTTTGAAATCTTCTCAGCTTATGAACTTATAACACCATGATAGTGAATTGAAAAAATAATGTATTGATAGAAAAAGTCATAAGCAACTACCAAAACTTTCACCAAATCATATGATCTTGAACCACAGCTGTAATTTAATGTAAGAAAACTATAAATTAATGTCTGTAACCATAAATAAAAGCCTAGTAACAATCTATATTATAATAGTTGAGTTTTAAGACTCCTCAACGCGCCACATCAGCATTAGGTGGGTCCCACTTTAAAAATGTGAAAAAATATCAAACATATGATTCGAACCCGGGTTATTAAGAAACAAACACTAACATTCATACCACTAAACTACAAGATAACTTGTACATTGATGGCCGAAACTAATATATATTTAGCCGGAAGCCTTTCCATCTATGGCCTCCTTTAAAGTTCGGGCCTGGAAGTGTATTATGAGTTTCATTTTTAATTGGGCTTCATCATATTATATGAAGAAAATATTCAAGTTTACAACAGTTACAGTTTTAGTTTTCCCATATTGTAAACCGTTAATGTTTAAAATGAGTTAAGATTCCTTTCACCATCGTCTCATACAGGTCTGAGTTATAGAGTTGGGTCGTGTGTCTGTTCGTAATCTAT